AATTGATTTGTTATGTTTAATGGAATTTACAAAATCATGTTTTTGTTCGTGCATGTTTTACAAAACATATAAGTTTTCATAAATGGGAAGTGTTATTCAAGAAATTATTTCTTTTACACGTTTATCTACATGTTTAGAAACTTCCCTCAAAATTTTACTATTTTTGGAGTTGATTTACTGTGCTCAATTGATTTTACAAAATCATGTATGTCAGCAGATTTTTAGAAACTGTATATCTGTATTCAAACATTTATTTCTCTCAACTGGGAAATGCTTTTTCTGAAATTATTTATCTAACATGTCATTCTACATGTCTAGAACCTTTCCACAATATTTCATAATTTTTGGAGCTGTTTTATTATTTTTAACTGATTTTACAAAATTAATATGCAGTGCTACAGTACCCGCGGTCGACCGCCAATCTCTCTGGAAGTTACTGTAGCATAACGGCTATATTTTCCAGATTTCGATATATCCGTTATTTTGTCTTTTTTGCTTGGTTTTCTTGGGTTTTGGGCTTGTTTCATGAGCCTATATATACTCCATGCCCTCATACTTCTAAGGGCACTTAAGAAATGTTTTAAACAAGTTTAAAGAGTTTTAAACAAGGGTTTAAGTTTGTTTAATGTTTGTTTAGAAGCTTTTAAGCAATTGGGTGTTTGAGTTTGAGAATTCAATTCCACAAGAGCTTGAGGAGATCATCTATTGGAGTTTGAGCAATCAACTATTCTCCCTCCATCTCTTGTCATCTATTGAGAAGTTTTCTAAACTCAATCTAGCTTTATATTTCATATTGTTTGATTATCATTTTATTAAGCTAATGTTCATATTGAGTTTAGTTGATTTTATTTTCTCTTTGTTTACACATACACAACCATTGAGCTTATTGTATTTACATTCATAGTATAATTGGGTTGTGGGATTGTGTAACTTAGAGAGTGAGCTTATAATTTGTTCTCATCCATTATAGAGAACAAACACTTTGTATTTGTGCTTATTACGAGATTCACTTTTATAATATACTTGTACACCGAGAGAAGTGTGTGGCGAGAGTCGGGGATCGTCCCAAGAGGAGTGGCGTCGGTTGACGAACTTAGGGAGAGGTTGTAACCGAGCACTTGAGGGAGACACGTCTAGTTCAACACTTGAGAGGGTGTAGAGTGGGATTACAAGAGTGTGTTAGTTGTAGAGTTTTCGGTAAACTAGAAAAACTGTATTGTGTGGTGTAAACGTTGTTCGGGTAAACGTAGAAAACCCGGTTGTTGTGATAGTGGAGATCTCCTCGAGGTGAGGAGCGGAGACGTAGGTCAAGTGGTTAGACCGAACTCCGTGATCATATCGTTTGTTTGTGATTGCTTGGCGCACTTATTTTTATGCTCATATCTTATATCGCCATTGTGTATTGCTCATTGTTTATTCAACCCACTATCTAGTCTAGTTTGCTTACCCTTGTGTGATTTGTATATCCTTGTATATATCTCATAGCATATCTCTTTACTAAGATATATCCCTTAGTTCATATTGCTTATCCTAGCTCATATATCTTGTTGTATTTCATACTTGCTAGGATAACTCATTAATTAATTTTAATTGGCATATAATCGGATTAAATTAGCATAAGACCCTAATCACCCCCCTCTAGGGTGTATGTGATGAAGAAGCTTGATGGGATGCACAATCTTGAATAGGCTTTTTAATTTTTGGTGCATTATGACAAAATTGAGCTAAATGGCATTTAAGACCGCAAATAGAACATTTGTAAATTTTATCATACATATGTGCATAGTGAATAGGTTTCTTAGAAGAATTAACATTCAACTTTGCACATAAGTTCATAAACTTTTTATTATTAGCAATACAAGTGTTTAGTGTTGAATCTAAGGTGGATATTCGTTTTCTCATTTGATTCAACTCATCATTGTGTATATAATCATTGCTACTAGAAGTAGGATAAACAAGATTACTCATCATAGATTTCAACTTATCTACTTCTAACATAGCATCACGTTTTTCATGAAGCAAACTAGCATTTTTAATTTTCATGTTTTCATTGCATTCTTTAAGAATTATATTTTTATTTGCAATAAAATTAAACTTAGTGGCTAGAGTTAGATGAATGGATTTCATATTTACATACTTACTCTTTACATCAATATAGCAATTGTGTAAATTTTCAAACTCAAGAGAAAGTTCATTAAAAGTAATAATATCATCGTTATCAAGCTCGCATACCTCACTAGGGTTATCACCTAGTGGAATTGTACATGGAGATGAGACTTCTTTAGAATTCAAAGTGGGATTTTCCAACGCTTGTTGAATAGCCTCCAAGTCTCCGTCATGTGCTTCAATAAATTTCCACCTTAGATAATTTTGGCATACACTTGGTTTTTTATCTGTGCTTATATGCAGGGGGAGCGTTGCTCCTATTTTTATTTTTCCCTTTTTGATGTTGTCAAAGGGGGAGAAAAATCCACATATGGTTTATATATTTATTCATATTCATATATGGTTTATGTGATTATTCATGTATGATTTTTTCATGTTTGGCTTATATGTGGTTTATCAGTTTATAATTCATATTCATGTATAAATTGTTTGTCATCATCAAAAGTGGGGAGATTGTTGACCCTATAGTTTTGATGATGATTTATCAAACAATTTATAGCTAATATATTCTCTAGTTTTGTGTTTATGTTTCTCTTTACATGTATTTCAACACACGTCAATCAAGCGTTAAAGATTCAAGTTTATATGTGTGGATTTACCTAGGTATAAGTTTAGTTTACTTACATATATTGTATGATTAGATCTAAGCTCAATATATGTACACTTAACACGATTTTTTGACGTTTTCTATCATATAAATGATGTTCATCAAACGTTGTTACAATATCTTTTATCTCACATTTACAGCTCTTTCATACTTTATTATATACATATAATACATGCATAATATATATATATACATATTTACAAGCCTGATGTTAATTTATCATGTATCCGCAAAACAGGTTTTTCTAACACTTTTCAAAAACAGGGAGCTTTTCCAGCAAACGAAAATTGATTTTCTAAAAATTCCTTTCAAAACATGTTTTATTTCATCATTTAGAAAACTTTCCTCAAAGTTTCAGCCTATTTTTGGAACTTGATTTCATTATTTTTTGAATAAATTTGTTTAAAATAGCCGAGAAAAACGGAGAACGCTGTCATATTGAACATAGTGATCAGATTCCGCGTCGAACCGGCGCGATCGACCACCAATGTATTTTTCCTTGGCATGTCTTCTTTGGCTCGCGGTCGACTCGTGCGGTCGACCGTGAAACATCCAGAGGACTTTCGCGGTCGCACCACTGGTCGATCGCCAGCTTTATTTCTCATACCCCGTGTTTTTGAGCTTCGCGGTCAACCGCACCGGTCGACCCCCGAACATGTCAGTATTAACTTCCAACGGCTATTTTTACAACGGTTCTCTGGGGCTTTTTAGTCTTTTTAACTGGGTTTTTTGGCTGATACTTGAGTTGGTATAAATACACCATTGCTGCTCTCTTTCAGAAATCCAAGTTTTGTGTTTAACAAAATCTTAAGTGTGTTTAAGAGCTGTTTAAAGTTGATTTCATCAATCTGTTTTCAAGAGAAGTTTTTCTACAACAAGAAGTGGCCTTCAAATCCTATTGGGATCATCATCTATTGTTCTTCTTGTTTGAGAAGTCTTCTAAACTCTTATATAGCTTGTTATTTCATTTTCATTTCATTTAGCTATATTTATTGAGTTTCATTCACTGTTATCACACACACTTATTGAGCTTAATATTTTCATACCATATAGTGTGGGTTGTGGGGGTGTGATTTAGTGAGTGTGAGATTCATTGTGTTCTCACTTGTTATTTGAGAACAAACCATTGTATTTAATTTTTATTTGTGAGAATCACTTGTAATACACTTATACACCGAGAGAAGTGTGAGGCGAGAGACGGGGTCGAATCCAATAGGAGTGGCGTCGGTTGACGAACCTAGGGAGAGGTTGTAACCGAGCACTTGAGGAGGAGGACACGGGGTAGGTTCCTACACTTAGTGTGTAAAGTATGATTGCATAGTGTTTGTTGTGTGAGAGTTTTCGGTGAACTTGTAAACCGAGTGTGTAGAAGTTCCGGCTTCCAAACCGGATTGTGATAGTGGATATCTCCTCGAGGTGAGGAGCGGGGACGTAGGTCGTGGTGACCGAACCTCGTAAACATATCGTGTGTTTGTGTTTTGTTTGACTCATATTTTATTTGTGCATATTCTTATTGTTCTTATTCATATCTATCTCTTGCAAGAACATATTGATCAATATAATTTTAATTGCGGTCGAACGCGACGGTCGACCGAACCAAAACCCGAGAGTAGAAAATATTACAAGGTTGGCACGGTTGACCGTCGCGGTTGACCGTCTTCAGATCCAGCTCCTGCCTAGCCTTTGTGCATGTTCGCGGTCGACCGCCGCTAACTCGCGGTCGACCGCTAGTCTGCCTGGCCGTTCTCCTGAGCTTCTTTCGAGCTTCTTTCGCCATTTCTTCACTATCTTCAGTGTCGTCTTTGTTTAATTCCTCTAGCATGAGCACAAGCTTTTGGTTCAACTCATCCTTTGCGTCTTCGTAAGCAAAGAGACAAGTTCATTGTGATTTGATTGTAAATAGCTAGTAGGATCACAAGTAATTGTTTGACTTGGTTTTGGATTTTGTAACACAGATGTGATCATATATAGCTAGTTGATTTTGTAAAGCTTGAAAGTCTACGGGATCATCTTGCACGGTAGAAGAGTAACTTATATTACCAGATAATCTAAGTTGATCATAGGTAACTATGGCATTCCACAAACATCCATCCTGGTTCATTATTTTGAATATAGAACATTTTTTTATTATGGACTACAATTTGTATATTTCTATTTCCAATTCTACTTACTATTTCATTACATACTTGATCTAAATCCATTTTTTGTGTGTTTATATTATGCGTACCTTTTTATTGGCTCAGCACTGCTTTCAATCTGTTGGATCTTCTCCTCCTTCATGTAGAATACAATAATGATCTCTGATCTTTCTTTTAGAACTGAGAGCACTTTGATAGTACTAAGGGAACTCAAGCATATGATTGAGATATTTGATGGTCATCTGATGCCTCTTACAAGCTCACTCTACGGCTGCATATATAGCATAGGGTTAATTTTAGGAAAAAGAACCCCCCTAAACTTTAGGGTTGTTGAATTACACCCCTCTGAGCTCTCAAATTAGCACTGTTAATTCTAATGTGACGGTTAACAAGCAAGTGACAGAAGAAGATGAAAATTAGTCCTCGGTTTCGAAATAATTAGCGTTTTATATCCTTTTCAATAACAATTATATTTTTTGGACTGTAAAGAAGTTATTTGTTCTTTTTATGCATCTGACATAGTAGAGTTGATGATGATATTTTCAGAGATTAAATGAAAAATTTTAAGGTAAAATTTAATGGAGTAAAATAATTAAAGGGACCATGTGAATGAACCCATAAAATTCGGTGGGTTAAGTGCAACACCCGACATCTAAGAGGATATATATAAGCCAATAAATAATACTAATACAACATGGTGGAAATCACAATGGAATTAATAAATTGAATTAATTGCTTTATGTAATCTTTCAGCTGTTTGGCTTGACGCGGTCAAGTTGAGCTGGTGAAGTAAAGTTTTGTCATTGGACACGTTATCCACAGGTTACTGTCTTTTATAGTTGATTACGTATTTTAAAACCTAAACCCATCTATCATTTGCCCTCAGCAGCACGTAACATGTCCCTTTCTCTCCTCGCTGCGTTTCTTCCGCATCCCTGCCCGCAGATACGCGAGACGCTCGAGCTTTTTTATTGGGAACCTCGAGAAAAACTTTTTTACTGGGTTTCTATCTTGAAGATTAGGGTGTGCTTGGCAATTCTTGTTGTGCGCGGCGAAAGCTTGAAACCACACGAACAAGAACGAGATAAATCACAACCACACAAGCCAAACACAATACCACAGCAAGACAAACGAATTTACGTGGTTCGACAAGTTACCTACGTTCACGGGGCAAGGAAAGGGAGTTCTTGTGAACGAATGACGCATTTTCAAGGCAAGTGGGGGCCACACGCGTTGATGATTTCGTGTGAAGTGTGAACGTGAGCGGCAAGTGGGGGCCACACGCATTGATGATTCGTGCAAAGGCACGTTGCAGGCCCATCCGATTGAAGCTATATATATAGCTTCGGATCTTAGGGTTTTTGGCGGCATGCAAAGCAGGGAACTTCGTGAAAAGAAAACCGAGAGGGCTTCGTCGGCTTGGGTGGCATGCAAGGGGAAAACATCGGACTGGTTTTTTTACTGTAGTTCGGGAAGAATTACAGAGGGTGTTGGCTGTTTTTCTTTTGTGAGAGATTTTAGAGATTGTTTGAGGATTTAATTTGTGTGATTGTAAACCCTATTTGTACTCTCTCCCTCTAATAGTAGATCTCCTCCCTCCTTGCCCAGTGGACGTAGACAACTTGCCGAACCAAGTTAAAATTGATTGTTTGTGTTGTGATTTGTATTAGCTTATTTAGGTTCCCTCGACAGGTCAGTCCTAGAACTGGTGAGAGGAAGAGCTGATATCCCATTTTATTGAGATATTTTTACTTTTGGTTCTTGTTTTATTGGTTAAACGGGAATTCATGTTGTGATCTTACTCTCTTGTTGCGTCGAGGTGCTGCCGAAATTTTCGCTGCGCACAACAAGTGGTATCAGAGCTCGGGCTACGCTTGGGATATTTGGAGGAGTAGATCGTTTTGGAAGTTCGTCTATGTTCGCGGGAAAAATCGTGTCTTTCTTCATTGATTCCATTGTACTCTTGTAACTGTTTTTTGATTATAAAAATCCGGTCTTTTTATAAGATCCGGTTACAACGAGATCAAAAAAGGAAATAAAAATTATAACTTTTCTCTTTTGTCGAACAAATCGCAAGCTCCTGTTTTGCGGTCGCTCGCTTTGTGGGATCTTTGCCTGCGCCGGGGTTTATCCGTGGACCACCACGAGATCTAGATCCGGTCGGATCTACGCAGTACGACGGGTATTATTTCGCCAAGGAAATAATAGCCGAGGGTACTATTTCTCCAAGGAAATAGTAGCCTTTAATTCTCGGGATCAAAGACCAAGCTTTGATCCGGAGTACGCCTGCGTAGATCTGAGATCCGGTCCTCTCGAACTCTTGCCTTATTTGGCGTTGACGATCGCCGAGCACCAGATATGGATGAGCAAGTCCTCGAAGTCCCAAAGCTTGGATCTTTTTTAGATCTGAGTCTTCAATCCGGCAGGGCTTCGCCCCCAAAAAATCCAACCTTTGAAAATGAACCAAGGGGGGCCTATTTATAGGCTACCTTCACTGTGCCCACGCACAGATCTGGGCCGGCCACCTATAGGTGGCCGGCTCTGGGCCGAGCCACCTATAGGTGGCTCGGCTCTTGGCCGAGCCCCCCTTAGGCGTAACCTCGTCGCCTCGTTGGTTCGTCGGTTTGTGCTGAGCTGTGCTAAGGGATCTATAAGCAATTTTATACGCCTACAGATACCCCCTCCAAAGTATTTCAGCCTCGTTCTTTTATAGAAGAGTCTGGAATACTTTGGATATGATTATCCCATCCTTCGGGATATTTGGAGTGACTTCTATTCTTGATTCCTTCAATCCTTCAGGCTATTCGGTGCTTTGTCGAATGTCTGTAAGAGTTCCGGTGCTGCATTTATTGTCTGACCGTTGTCGGAATTTCGAATTTGAAGTCGATTCCTGATTTTATGATCTTTAGCTCATGTTTGTTGGTTCAACATAGAACTGACCATCGATTGTTGGCGTTGAGTTTTTATTTGCGACGCGTTGTCCGGCGTAGTGTTGTTGAGTTATCCTTAAGAATATTTAGAAAAATATTCTCCAGGAACTTCTCAACCAAAAATAGGGAACAGTTTGGAGTATTTTCTGTGCCCGAATGAGCTGAACCGGTCTGATAATGAGCCAAAAAAGGCAGTAATTCGGCTCAAAAAATCTTCCGACCCTTCCGAATGTGTGAGAGAGGCAAGCATAAACAAAGGATTGAACCCTCGGTCGATTTGAAGTTGTTTCGATGCTCGATTCATCTTCAATTTGAATTCTGGTTCGAATCTGGTTCAAACTGGTTCAACCTGGTTCAGGACTGGTTCAACCTGGTTCGAAGCTGGTTTGGCCTGGTTCAGCCTCTTTTGAACTGATTTGGACTGGTCTGGTCTGGTTCAACCTGGTCCGATCTGGTTCAAGGCTGGTTCATATTATAAAAGGGGCTCTTTTTCCTCCTCTAGAGCCGGCCCCCTTCTCCTCCTCTTTCTTGGATTCCTCTTCCCTCTTGCATTCTCTTTCCCTCAATTCTTAGATCTAGCCTTCCTTTGGATCTTAGACTGAAAAATCCCTCAAAAATCTTCATACAGAAATTCCTCTCAGACCCCTTGAGCACGTGGTCTGAGCCTCCTTCAAGATTTGATTTTTGTCGGGTCTTCGAGCTTTCCCTCAGGTAAATCCTCCACAATTTTAGCAAATTTCATGCTTAATTCAATTTATGAATTTGTGGGGTCGCATGTGAGGATTAGGGTTTATGATTGGCGTCTCGAGCTCCTCTTTCAGGGGGTAAAATTTGGAGCTCTGAGGGATTTAATTGCAATAAAAAGAAACTTCTTTTCTGGATCGATCCCTAATTTGTTTCGCAGATCATCATGTCGCGTGTCCCGAGAGGTCGCTCCCCTGTTGCGTCGACTGATGGCGTGCCTCCCTCATATGCTGGTGAGCTATTTTTTGGAAATTTACAAATTAGTCCATTTTTTCTTGGAAATTTGCAAATTAGTCCTTTTTACCCCACATTGTTCTCCTTGGTGAGGATCGACGCTTTAAAGATATGTTTTGCTTGGTCAAAACCATATCTCAAAATAAAGGGGGCGTTTTGACGCTGCATTGTGCCTTATAAGGCAGGGACATATTATCGATATACCCTATCTTATGAATGCACAACGTGGCCAAATCGTCTCACCCTTTATAAGGCAATGACTTTATCTTACCCATTCGTAAGATGAGTTTAATTTCCTTTTATAACTGGAATTAACAAACGTTTAATTGCTTGTTTTCAGGTGAGTATCCTTCCGGAGCATTTTCATCTCATGCGGTGAACGGACGTCGTGGGGATGATAGGAGGATGGTGAGACCCGAAATCATCCTAATATCCGACGATGAAGGGGAAGAGGATCCCATTGCTGCAATTATGTCTGACCAAGAATCTGTCCTCCCGGTCTCCGAATCCGTGCAGGGCATCCTCTAAAAAGTAGAGAATGTTATGCAACAAACGGCCACCGTCATTATTTCTGGACGGGGAAGATTTTATGATTTGCTCCCTTTCATAACAGATAGTCTTAAAGACATTCAGTGTGTAGGTGGTCTCCGGCTAGCTGGACGATGTGAGTTAAGGTTGACTTGCTTAGAGGAACTCATGTATCGTTTGGAAGAGCTAGTACACTTCGACTCACATGATGAGGTCACACCGCTCATGATCGATGCTCAGATTCATAGGATGCATAAGCGTAAGGCCCGAGCGAGACGCATATCAGATCAAGAAATCATCGTTGCGAACTTGTACGATCGGCAACGTCGTCTGCGGACTAAGATAGATGCTTATAACAGCATTGCTGATAGGACAGGGATTAGGACCGTCCAAGGGGAGAGGACTCTAAAAGATTTTGAGCTCGAGAGCACCAGAGTTCAAAATGTTTATAGAGGAGAGCTGGAGGTTCTTCACGCGTGGCGCCGAGAAGACGTAACTGTCGACGCTGCCACCGTTCTTGCTTATGCCAAGCTTCAGAAGGAAGAAGAGGAGAAGGTTCGAGCGGAACACGCAGAGGAACTTGCCACTTTTAAGGCTAAAATTGCTTCCTTCAGTTTGTTAGATCTGATTTGAGACGTCTTCTTGTATCTCCACTTGGTCTGATTTTATAAATGAAATAAAGTCTTTTCTTTAGCGTACTCCTCTTTTTATCATTATGTTTCTCTGTTGATTGTGAACCCAACGGTCATAATACTTACAGGATTTTTGGCAAATCCTCAGCCATCAACGGGTT